ATAGAAACCCGGGTAACATATGTAGTGATATTAGTGCTTTATTGCTCCCAGACTGTTTATATCCCAGTACAGAGACGTGCGCGCGCGTTTATATTGCTTTTATAAAATATTCGTGAAAGATTTTGCGCAAGTGTTTCTTTGTCCTCTGATATAAACACTGTAGCCAGGCAATAGTTAACGTTTTAAGCGCACAACTCTCAGCTCAGATGTTTATTTTTGTGGTCTTTAATTGGGCTTTCGGGGTTATTAAATCTTAATCGTCCTGTGAAAGTTATAGAAACCAAATAAAAACCCTCGTGGCAAGAGAGAAAACAGTAGATCTTGTTTCTGATACGGTGGTCATCTTGAATTATGCCATGCCGAGGGGGCAAACACGTTGAAAAATTTATAAAACAGAGTGGCGGGCTTACGTTTAATCCACCCTTGATATCCCATAATGCCTTAAATAAAACATTATAAAATACCTGTTGCAAATCGCGCGTTCTGATTGGTTCGGAGCGCGTGCTTTATGAGAGCACACAGCACGCACGCGCACTTTCCGTTGCGTCATTCCTTTCTAAAATAACGGTTTTTTTAATTTGCATTTTATAAAAGAAATWAAAAAAAACTTGCTTGCTGTGCTGTGTGGAGTTATAAAGCACTTGGGATTGTAAGAATACTCGAGAAGTGTCGAGAAGCACTACGCGTCGTGCTTCTTCTAACACTTCTCTTGTGTTCTGCCAGCCCCCGCGTGCTTTATAACTGCACACAGCACGCGCGCGCGTTTTTTATTTCTTTTAAGTGCCTATCACCCTTCTGACAATATTCTCAGTATTGATTCTACATGGAATAAGATGTCGATTAACCTGAAAACAATTCATAGCTTGAGTGCAGCTTCTTGTAGTTATGAAGGCTTTTCCATGCCATATGCTAATGCGGTGACGTATGAGGAGGCATTTATGGTTATTTGTTGTTCCTCGTAATTCGAAACACCGGCTTCTATGTGAAAAATAGCATGCAATAATTTCTATAAGAGCAATGGGGAAAACAATGACGTATTTCAAATTTAATTTATCTGTGCCAGTAAGGTTTTGTATATTAAATGATTACTCCTCATACGTCACAACATTAGCATATGGCATGGAAAAACCTTTATAACTTCAAGAAGCCGCACTCAAACTATGAAATATTTTCGGGCTTTTCCACATCTTACCCCATGTAAAATTAATTCTGTGAATATTGTCAGAAGGGTGATAGGCACTTTAATAGGATTGAAGATGTCCGCCTTATCGGTTCAAAGGTCTATTATAGTCATGCTGAGACTCACATTATCAAACGTAAAGAGCATCGCCAGTCCCTCGGCCCAGCCTTCCAGGTTCACCGCGAAGAAGAAAAAGATCATTAGATTCGTGACGATAAGCAGAAGAACAACCAATAAACCCTGAAATAATAAAGACAATAAACATCCCTACTCTACCCCTACACCGTCTCGTGACGATAAG